TGGAGGACATGAATTTCCTCCTATAATGGAGTAGAGGACATGTACATTGTCTAGGCCGTGGACGAGGCTGAATCCTCTGTTCTAGCAATCTTCTTCGGACTCGGTTCATCATTCTCTTCTTTTGTTTCAGTTTCCGGCTCAGTGTTTAAAGTTTCCTTGTCCTCACCTTCCATCCCTTCTTCAACATCCTTCTCATGCTTTAGCTGGTTTATCCTAGAACAAGAGGCATAAACTATTACATTATGTGAAATGAGAAAATAAATGTATGCTGCACTATTGAACAAACAATAAACAATAAATGTTCTGAGTTCACCATCGTTGTTAAATGTTTAAATCACTTTACAGAACAGAGGAACAACATTCTGAAGGATGTGGCAACTTTTCATAAGATGAAGTGTCAGTTCAGAATTTCAGAAAGATCACTTAAGGAGTATTGCAGAAGATATGCCTTATTATGACGGGGGGGGGAGGCAGAGCAGAGGGGCCAGGGGAGGAATTCACCTGCATTCAAGAGCTTGATGAAGCTTTTCAGCATCCTTAGGAGAACCAGAGATCAAGAATATTCTAGATAATATATACATACAGAGCTGGAAACTTTTAAATCAACGGAATAAGTTAAACTCTTTCTTTTATCGTCTGTAGATAGACTTAATACAACAAAAAATCGTTGTATCTTTTTATCTGGAAGAATTTGAGTTGAGAATTTTCCGTTCTTTCAAAAGTTTCCATTTGTGAGGCAACTGAGGCCGAATTTAATGAATTTGAACCAATCACCGGTTCAAATTGCGCGCTGACTCAAAATCTCCAAACACTGATTACATATTCTAGGTTGAACCAACCATGTTTGAACCGCGTCTCATGTTTGAATAGAGTCTAGACGCTGTTTAAATTCTTCAAATTCGGCCTCAGATCTAGACACAAGACAGGGATTAGGAACTTATTGAGTAGTAGCTGAAGGGTCCGGCGTTGCCCGTGGAAAAAGAAATTTGAAAAAAAAAAATTATGCAGACGGTACTTCCTTTGAATAGAAACATTTGTCTGAATATATATACGAATGTCTTTATTTTATAGAAAAATTTGAGCTTATGCCGAGAACGACTATTTACCAATTACCAATTACTACCTACCAGTTAACAATTACTAAATATGCGTATCCTGGCGAAACTATTTTAGATTTTGACTTTACCTGCAATCTTTCTGAACTCTGTTTTGTTTACATAACACATCTTATAATAATATAACATAGCTAGAAGCCTTATTTTTTTTTCTATCATTCATTTTAAATGCATGTCAAAAAAAGTTTCCCGCCAAAAAAAATGACTTTTGGCAGGTAAAAAACTGAACCTTTTCACACACCATCCCTGCCCACAGTTTGGTGTTCAGGACAACGCGCAGGGATCCACTAGTTCGCATTACAAGCCTGAACACAGACAATTTAGCATCGGAACTAAGGTGCATCTGAACTAAGATGCATCTGAACACAGATAATTTAGCATCGGAACTAAGATGCATCTGAACAAAGATAATTTAGCATCGAAACTAAGGTACGTCTGAACACGGATAATTTATCATCGAAACTTAGGTGCATCTGAATATAGATAATTAAACATCGGAACTAAGATGCATCTGAACATAGATAATTTAACATCGGAACTAAGGTGCATCTGAACATAGATAATTTAACATCGAAACTAAGGTGCGACTAAACACAGATAACTTAAAATCGAAACTTAGGTGCATCTGAACATAGATAATTTAACATCGGAACTATGATGCATTTGTAGGCAATGATTTTTCATCGGAACTACGGTTCATCTGTTGACGACGCTTTAAAACCGAGACATTCCCAGGTGTCTGTGCTTCGACAATTGGCCACATAGGCTTTGATTTGATTTAAAACAAACAATGGATATGAAAGAAATAAAGTCAAAAATATTTAGTTTTAATATTTAGTATTTACCTCGATCTGATGTGACCAAGTTTAGAACAGGTATCATCATTCAATCTAAATATTAGAAAATAAAATAAAAAGGAACAAAATATAAAATGACTAGTAACAACCATTTTGAAGTTTTCCTAGCTCGGTAAAAGAATTCATTTCATTTCAAATTACTCATTTTTTTCTCCGAACCACCTTTTTAGAACCTTCTAAATGTTTGACACCGAGCTTAGGATCCGAATACTTGCATATGCATCCGCAACATTTTTGCTTCCTTGATTCGAATCCGCAAAAATGTGAAAATCCACGGATCTGGATCCAAGTAGCAAAATAAAACAGAAAACTGTAAAAACAAATTTTTTATTTAAAACTCAAATCTGAACTGATGAAAAAAGAAAGAGTTTTAACAATTTTAAGTTAACATAAAATAAGCAAATTTTTTTTATTGACATTTTGAAATGTTTCTTTCGTTAAAAATTAGACAATTTTGAGAAATGTTCAAGACTTCGATCCGGACTCATTTTTCAGGGCTAATGAAATGGATCCTGAGCACTGGTTGGAAGAATATAGATATTCCTTATGGGGCTATCGACATAATTTTAAGTTGCCCTTCACGCCAAAATTACGTTCTGCAAAACCTTAAGTCTAAAAAAATTATGGGAAAATCCATATTTTATTAAAAAAATTTATAGATTATGATAAGAGACAAAGAAGAAAGAGAAAGATGACATATATCCTTTTCCAAAAAAGAAATACAGCAAAGTCTTTCTCGTAGTTGCTCAAGAAACCATTCGAGAGGGAAGGTGCCCTTTAATTGGAGACAATACAAATTTCGCAGACAGTCTCTTTAACCTGATCAGACCCCTGCCTCTCTCCACCCAGTTCTTGTTCTCGGTACAGAAGAGGTAAAGTTTAACATTGCTCTGCATAACATTAGATTCTTCTTCCTCTCCTAAACATAGCAGTACAGTACAGTACAGTAAACGACTTTTATAATAAAATTACAACGTTTAAAAGTTCAATGAGCATGAGACACAGTATTTGAGCAGGGTCAACAGGTTCAATTAACTAGATTAGTGGTTTGTTCGGTGTCTAGTAAAACTATTTGCTTTGTAACAACATCAAATATACTCAAGTATTGCATGTAATGACGTCTTCCTATTTCACTGCCTTCTGGTTATCACTGTATTTAGACATGTAGGGTAATTTCCTTTTGAGCAAAAAACACGTGTAAGGGACACGGAAAACTACACGAAGATTGATGAGTAGGGACAACGCCGGGTACTTCTTCTTTTAATACAAAATCAAAGGAATTTCAAATGCAAAGATGGCCATTTCCGATTCACAACGGCACCCTTGACACCTTTATCTGATCAATAATGTGGAAGATGTTGTTGTTTTTCTAAGTTTACAAATGCTCCTCTTTGATAATTCCATTAATATTTTCTGCAGTACAAATAGAGAAACCACAGTTAAAAATAATAATTTTTCAAAATTATAAACATTGATATCTAATGCATACTTGATCAGACAAAGCTTTAAAGGGTAGCGTTGTTAATCGAGCATTGCCATCTTAGCATGTAGTATCAGTTAAAATTACGCTTAGTCCCTTTAAGTAAGTGTTATTTCTTGAAAATATAAACCCTGAGACCAATTTTAAAGAATTTGAGCCGCGGCAAAAATTTGAGACGCGACTAGAATTCAATAAATTCGGACTCATTTTAGTTTTAAAAGTGAAAAATTAAGTAGAATTCTACAAGTTTACAACTAACCTGTTACAACAGTAACTTCTTCATATTTCCTCTTATTCTTATGACTTTCCGTATACTCGGCAGCAGACTCGCTTAGCGTCTAAATAAAAGGGACTGTGAAAGTAATTTCAAGTGATCCTTCATGCAAAGATGGCAATGCCCGATTCACAACGGTACCCTTGAAAACGTTGTCTGATCAAGTATGAATTATTTATCCATTTTATTGTTTCTTTAAACCGATTATTTTCATTTGCGGCTTCTCCGCATTTCAAGGGTAAAATTATAAATTGGGCATTGTCATCTTTGTATGGAGGGTCACTTTAAATTATGCTCACAGTCCCTTTAATCGGATTAATATGATGCGGTGAGATGAGATGTTTTAAATGAACCGAATCAGTTAAACTCGTCCGGTCTCATTGCGACCAAATTCTTTTTTAAGACGAAAGAGAAGTATGCTTAACTCTACCATACTGTCATTGATGGAATCTTATAGGTTTAATTCGTTTTGACAAGGAGTCCGAGTTTAGCTGATTCAATTAAATCAAAAGTTTTCAGCTTAGGCTCCATCGGAAGACACCAAAAAAGCTAAATGCAGAAAAAAACAAGTTATCAGTTTCAAACGAGTAGCCCGTTTTCTGGATGCAAGTATGTTATGCAACTGCAGCTGCAACTGCAACTGCAACTGCAACTGCAAATGCATTATTATTTGTTACTAATGGTAAATAAAAAGAAAATGCTCTTTTAGAAAACCCTCAAATATTACTTGAGAGAATCAAGATAAACCTAGTTTGATATTCCTCAAATATTACTTGAGAGAATCAAGATAAACCTAGTTTGATATTAACAGTTCTTAGGTTACAAATCCATTGGATCCGGAAAATTTTAGCTACCTGGATCCGTGGATCTGCAAAAATAGCCAAACTTCCATTATGACATATAAATAAAACTTTTTTCTAAATAAGGCAGTTTACCCACCCTTTGAGATATCAGTAACAATTTCCGTTCCATTCAATGTTGAATTGGACAAAACGGATGAAGAATATGAACTTCTGATATATTTATGAGCTGGATCCGGAACCGGTTTTTGCAGGACGGATCCGGATCCACGTCAAAATAAAATGAAGTCACACCAAACCTACCTTTTTATCGTCCTCCGGAAGTTTTTCTGCTGCTTGAACTAGAAAATGGACAAAAATATAAAATAAACCAGGAGTACTGGAATTTTTGTATTTAAAAGCCAAGAAAGGAACTAGATACTATATTTTAGTAACCTGAAGGTGTAAACCTTTGCTCTCGCAGAGTAATAAGTTTGAAATATCTAAGTTCTAAGACATCAGACTTTAAAATGTTAGAATACGAAAATGAGAGATTAAGGCACGTGTTCATTTTCTTTGTAAGAAAAGAATAATAAAACGAGAAAAGAAAAGAAAACTTGAATTTTTAAAGATAAACTTGTTAATTTTTCAGCACATAAATACATGTACATTGTAATTAGTTTCCCCTCATATACATTCATTTATCAACATTCTCAGTTGAAAGACTCCCTTATTCGGACGAACTAATGATGAATCACTATAGAAGATCGTGGGGNGATGAGAAAAGAAGTTCTGTCGTGCCCGCACTCTCTATCTTCTCCTCTTGACACTAGAATGTGATATTTTTTTTTTAAACTATAAAAAAGAGAGAAAATTGTTAACATTGTGAAATGTTTTTTTTAATTGTACAATTAATTACGGACGCCTGAAAATGCATGTACATTCTGATTATCTGCTTTTTGTATCTTTCAGAGGACAAATCATATTTGTTTTAAGTGCGGGGGGGGGTCTATTTGATGAAAAAACTGAATTATTCAATATTTTGATTTGACATCCCAATTCTCCATCCAATGTCAAGTTTGTCTAAACACTTTTTTTCTAAAAAATGCTCATTTCTATGAAAACTTAATTTCTACCTTCTCTGCAGGAACAATTGCTTTCTCTGATAGATTTTGTCCAAACACTGGCTCGGCCGTCTTTGCTCTAAGAATATACAAAAAAACAAATTAGTGTTAATTCTATAAAAGCCAGAACCACCCCNCCCCAAACAACCAAATACTTATGTATTGTACAATTTTAAGAATTGATTTTTGATGATTTGGGGAAAAAATAAAATATTTGACATGGAAAGCAAAAAATTTTATTTTCAAAAAAAAATTATTTTTTTTCATCCAAAAAAAAACAAAGTAAATTCTAAAAAAAATTTCAAAAAAGTCTTAGAGCAAGGGAGGTAGTCAAATAGTTTTTAAAGAAAACATACACCTCTTTTTATTGATATCATTATCATCATTATTTTTATCAAAATTATTATTATAATCATTACAATTATTATTAATATACCTGTAGCAGTCCCGAGAAATGAGTTTTCTGAATTTTCTGTCCCGGGTTTACTCAAGGGGGTAAAACTAAGAGAAAAAAAATGAAAATTTCATCATATTTTTCAAGGTATGGAGATTTCTCTAACTTCTTTTCTCAAATCACTTATTTTTCCGGTTGTGTCTTTTCAGTATCTAAGCATTTCTTATACACTTAATCCTTAAAAAATTAGGCCAGATCTGAACCACTAGATCCCATATAGGTCAGGGTAAGTGGCGGAGCTCTAGCCTGTTAGCTTAATAGCATAGGCACAACATGATAGGCTGTGGCAGAGTACGCTTCGGGACTTAGATCCTGCATTGCCTCCAGGTAGTACTTCATCCTGTTAGGGATTGCCGGGTTGGACCGGACCATAAGTTCTGGCCGGGTGGATTACTTATCCTCCGATGGCGGTTTGGGTTTCTAAAGATGGGGAAACTTTCAGATCAATACTAGTATATACTCGTATTATAATCTAAAGGTCATAATTTCGGTAATTTGTCTGTAGGTTTATTGTTAATAATAATAAAAACTGCCGACTACTAGTTGAACATTTAGTAGAATGTCTATACCAAGGTTATTTTGTAAGGTTGCTTAATCTCGATGCGCTCTAGTTTACGGGAAATGTCTCCAAAGCAATGGACAGTTAATGGTGCAGTGTGCATAGAGGATCGGCTTGCGGATGCAAAAGGAAACCGGTCCGAACACCTTCAAAATGGCTCCTTAAGCACACTGTCCCATAACTCAGTTTGTCTTTTTAAATGAAAAGATTGATCATAGAACTGAGAATACTATTTAAATTTTTTCTTGTATAATATGAAAATTAATGCCATTTTGATCATAGTTAGTTATTATACTTTATAAATTAATAAATATAAATGTTTAATGAATACATGCAAAAAATAAAAGAATTTTTTCTATTAAATCAAATCAGACTTTTATAGGAAGTAATGCCACCTTGCTCGGATCCAAAATTAATAAAAAAAAGTCGTCTGCCTTTATTATTCAATCAATCGATCTGTGATTTAAAAGCCGTCCTAGTTTGGAAATCTTAATATTTTGAATGAAAAACAATGAATAGTCGATGGAACGGTGCATGAGGGGCGCGAAGCACTTAAATTTGTATTATTTATATTTTACCTAAATGTTGTAGGTTTGAAGGGAGCAGAAGAGGCGGATTCTTCAGTCTCTGTATTACTGGAATTACTAAATATTTATATTTTATAATTTTTATGAAGTAGTGAAAACATTATGCGTGAATTTGAGCAAGGGTGTAAAATTTTAGAATGATTTTTGATGAATTTGGGAGTAAAATGAAAAATGAGACATCTTGAGGCAAGTTTATCATCCTTTATGAGAAATTTCCCTCTAAAAGTCATTTATTTTTGCCCCATTCAGCGAAGGAAACCCTAAAAAACACCTAACTTCAAGGGGTAAAATGATTTTTCAAGAAAGTATACACTGCAACCATGCATTTGAGTTGGGGGTTCCTAGAGTCACTGTAAACTCAGGTTAATTTAAAATAATAATAAAAAACGAATACTTAAAACGTGTAGTTAATAGGACAAAATCCTAAAAGAACAGGATTGGATAAAACAATACATCCCATTCGACACTACTATGGTCGGCCGCTCCTGGCTTATCATGGCTAACCGTACTGACTTTAATGAAGCTAGAGCAAGTTGTACGAGTTGTAACACAGACAAAAACGGCTGAAACGGGACAGTACACCAAATGAACCTTAATGGTGAAAGTATTGTCAAGTACTAGCATAAATCTTAGCTTTATACAATGAATTAATTACCTTTGTGATTGAAGGACGGAGAGTTTAGAATCAGCCAATATTCCTACACTACCACCCAGCTTACTCTGTTTTAATCCTAAATACAAATTTTAATTAGGAAATATAGGGAGGTTTAGGAAATCTAGAGAGCATTAGGAAAGCTAGAAAGGATTAGGAAAACTATGGAGGATTAGGAAAACTATGGAGTTTTGGGAAAGCTAGGGAGGATTAGGAAAGCTAGGGAGGATTAGGAAAGCTAGAAAGAATTGGGAAAGCTATGGAGAATTAGGAAAGATAGGGAGGATTAGGAAAGCTAGGGAGTATTAGGAAAGCTAGAAAGAATTAGGAAAGCTATGGAGAATTAGGAAAGAAAGGGAGGATTAGGAAAGCTAGGGAGGATTAGGAAAGCCAGAGAGGATTAGGAAACTGGTCCTTATCTGTGAAAACTGTTTACTGCCTGTGAAAACTGATTCCTACCTGTGAAAACTGGTTTCTGTATGTGAAAACTGGTGACACTACCTGTAAAAACTAGTTTCTACCTTTAAAAACTAGTTTCTACCTATGAAAACTGGTTTCTACTCATATAAAAACTGGCTACTACCTGTGATAACTGGTTACTGCCTGTGAAAACTGGTTTCTACCCGTGAAAACTGGTTACCACCTGTGAAAACTGGTTACTACCAGTGAAAACTGGTTACTACCTGTGAAAACTGGTTACTACCTATGATAACTGGTTACTACCTGTGAAAACTGGTTTCTACCTGTGAAAACTGGTTTTGCCACCTCGACTGCAGGTTTCCCAAGCCTGGAAGGGGTCAGCATGAAACCTTTACCCTTGTCATTCATTGTTTCTGAAAATATATTTTTTAAAGGACTGTGACGTGATTTAAAGGTACCTCCGTTTACAAACATCTGATTCACAACAGTACCGTTTAAATCTTAAAACTAACAAGAAAGAATGTGAAATTCCAGTTTTTCTTCGGAAAAAATGTATTATTTTCAATTGTGGGTTCTCTGTAAAAGTGACGATTCAAAAGTGAAAAGCAGAGACGATTCAAGGACATTGTCAGAATTCAACATTTTATAAAACAGAAAAATCATGATATCTCCCTCATCGTTGCTCAGATAAAGGTTTAAGGAATACCGTTGTGAATCAGACTTGCCTAACTATAGATGGGGGGTCACTTGAATAAGCCACAGTGGTTTCAATTAATGATTAAACGCCAATAAATATAAAAATATGTTTGCCTCCCAACGGCCTTATTTGTAGATATACCAGTATATAACTTTGCAATAGATTAACAAAAATAAATATTTAATGTTTTCTGCCATAACAATGACTATTCAGACTTCAGACTAGAAATATTCAAATTTCAAACTAACAAGAAAGAAGTAATTAAATCAAATAATAAAAATAAAATTAACTATGGTTATAGAATTAATAATACATAATAAGTTCTACAGTGGTCCCCCAAAATAATAAAAGGACTTCTTTCTAATCTTATACTTTGCTTGTCTGTCTGTCTGTCCGTTTGAAGGTTTATGGAATATCAAATTTGGAGAAAAAAAATCCTGGAAAATAGATTTGAAAATGATTTAAAATGGCCGATTTTCAGAGCAATATTTAAAAGCTATAATTATTTACAGGAAAGGAGGCGCAAAGCGCCCTAAAAGCCTAGCATCCATATATTTTATTTTGGAGACCGCTGTATCACGACAGGTTGTTCACAAAAAAAAAACATATTTACATTGAATTAACAAAATGAGCAGTTTAACATTTGTATGACTATAGTTTTAACAAATAATTTACAAAATAATGTTCTATGACAAAAGTAACCATGTAATCACAGTAGTTATCAATAGTTTCAATCAATAAAAATAATAATAAATAATAGTAATAATGATAATAATAATAATTTTGAGTTTTACAAATCCATCACCATCTCCAAGGAATCCTAAGAAAAAAGAAGTAAAAAATTATAGAACAGAACACTTGCCACAAACTTTAATTTTTTAATCTCCATGTCTTTGCAACCTAATGGTTTAAATCTTTAATATTTTATCTGTTTGATAAAACAGAATATTTTTGGTCAAAATATCAGAGCTCTTTTTAAGAAATAAATACCGATTTATTTTTCCCCTTTACAAAATAATTTTATAATTTTACATTATTCATTTCTCGAAGAAAATATACACCCCTGATTACCGTACCTGGAAAACATGGCAAAATGTCTAAATTGATTTCAAGGATTATTTTTTTTTTGGTAGTGGGGGGTTCCTGAGGAATAAAAGTTGGATAATCATTCTATTATAATTTTAGCTTGAAAAGTCTAATTTTCTTCTTAAAATCATTTAACCTTTTAACGTAATTTTTTGTTTTGATTTTTTTCTCTTAATATTTACCTGTTGAACTAGAGGATTAGATTGACCGGTATCGGGTAGAGCTGAGCATTAGGTCCAGGGCGGAGAGGGCTCCCAGCAGGGCATTCTTCTCCTTCCTAGATCAACATAGGTCAACACATGTGTCTTAAAGGAAGTGTTCAAATCAAATCAAATCATTCTTTTAGGGACGTCCTACACCCACACCCCAAAATTGAAGTGTTAACGTAATTTCTAGTGAATCTCCATTTATTTGAAGTCCCCTTTAACCTTTGATCAAATTTTGCTTTTCTCTCTTACTATTTCAAAATAGATTAATTAGAATTGCGGTTCTCTCTGAAAGAGAAGAAAGGAAATGAAGAGAAACAAAACCTTTTTAGAACAGAAAAACAATTATCTTTTACATTATTAATTCCGATAAATGGCTGACGGGTACCATTGGTAATAATCGGATATGCACCTTTCTCAGTGAAATTACATAATTACATTGATAGTCTCCCATCTGTGATTACAAGACTTATGCCAAATTTTGTACTTTACTTAAATATTCTTTGTAAATCTTTTAAGTTTCTTAAGATACGGCAAATGCTTAAAGAAAAATCCCCCAAACAATGTCTAATCTGTAAAAATCTGTTTATAACAAATGATGTGGGAATATGAGAAGGAGTAGGGAGTGGTTTGGGAGATTCTTTGTTCTAAAATTCCCTCCAATAACTTAGTTTAAGACAGGTGTTATTAATTACCTGTTGAACACTGTTCCCATTAGAGCATCGTCTTCCTATTCCACAGTTTTATGTTTTAGTCAAAATCTCCATTTTTTATTCAGACGAATAATAATATCTTTATGTTCCTGAGAATGTGAGGAGGAAGCAGACCAGACAGAATATGGAGATGATGAGGAATATAAATTTATCCTTTCTAATAAATTTTGTCAATTTTTATTCATTTCTTAGAAAAACAAATCAAAATAACAAAAAAAGGAAAAAAAAATAAAAATAACCTTATTTCTTTCTAAAGATTAACTTTTAATCTTCGTTTGCAGAATTGCCAAACAAAATAATTGAAAAAATTCCTTGAAGCCTCTACTGCGTTTTTTACTAAAGCTGTAGCTCTTTCCAAGCATTGTTCACGTTCTAGTAAAGAGAAGTTAAGAACGAGAACCGGAATTAATGAATTTAAGCTAAGTCTAGAGACGGTTCAACCACGAATCTTGGATCAGTGATTCAGTATTTATTCATTGTCCGAATTTAATGAATTTGAGCCGCGGCATAAATCTGCCAAAAACCGGTTTCAATTGAGCGCCGACTTAAATCTTGAAAAATTGAATACAATTTCAAGTGGAACAACCAAATTCTGTAAATTCGGCCTCATATCTTATAGATTATATATAACTTCACTGCAGAACTACAGATTAGTATTTGAATCGACGATCTGTAGTTGAGCAACCGAGCTCAAATTCATTACATTAAGTCCCCGGTCACAGGAATGTCATTACTTATAACTAATAAACAAAAGATGGAAGAGCTGATGTCAGAGTTTTATTCTTATTACTCCAATTTAACTTACACTTCCCTCTGTAAAGATAAGAGTAAATTGTCAAATAATATCACTATATCGATAAAAATGATGAATTGAAGTATTGACTACTGGTTGATTGATTAATGAATTGATTAACTGCTTTTTGATATGTTACTGAGAGGATTAACTGATTAATTCATGAAATGAAGAATTGACTGATTGTGAGTTGATTAACTAATAAATTGAAAAATTGTGAGATGATTAACTGATTAATTGATGAATTGATTAACTGCTTAATTGATTAGTTAATGAGATAATTAACTAATTGATTGATGAAATGAAGAATGGATTGATTGATGAGTTAATAAACTGATAAATTAAAAATTATTAGATGATTAACTGATTGATTGATTAATTGATTAACTAAACTGCTTAATTGATTAGTTAATGAGATGAGTAACTGATTGATTGATGAAATGAAGAATTCATTGAGTGATTAACTGATAAATTGAAAATTTTTGAGATGATAAACTGATTGATTGATTAATTGATTACTGCTTAATTGATTAGTTAATGAGATGATAAACTGAAAAATTAAAAAAATTATGAGATGATTAACTGATTGATTGATAAATTGATTACTGCTTAATTGATTAGTTAATGAGATGATAAACTGATAAATTTAAAAATTATTAGATGATTAACTGATTGATTGATAAATTGATTATTGCTTAATTGATTAGTTAATGAGAGGATTGACTGATATATTTATGAAATGAATAATTGATTAATTAATGAATTAATTAACTGCTTAATTAATTAGTTAGTGAGATAATAAACTGATGCATTAACAAAACTGCTTAATAGATTTATTGATGACATGATTAACTACTGGATTAATGAAATGATTGATTGATGAATTGATTGGTTGATTGATTAACTGATGGATTAAAGACTTAATTAACTAATGGATTAAAGACCTAATTAACTAATGGATTGATTGATAGATGAAATGATCAACAAATGAAAGGCTCAATTAACCGATTGATTTAAATTAAAGAATTCATTAACAGATTAATTGACCGATTGATTGATTGATTTATTGATGAATTGATTAACTAATAAACGGCTTAATTAACTGACAAATTGAGGAATTGATTATCAGAACTGGTAAATTGATTGATTGATGAATTGATTATCCAATAAAAGGTTTCATTGAAGAATCAGAATTACAGTTATTCATTCACCTGAACTTTGTCTCTTCTGTTCCCCTGATTTTCCCTGATTGTTCTCTATCTTAAGAACTGCAGCAACCCCTTCATGATCACTATAGCTCAACTAGTATAATAATACTAGGCTTTTAGGGCGCTTCGCGCCCATCTTCTATTTCAAGTTTTAATTGTGGCTTTATCTCTGAACATCTTCTCTTTGTACAGTATAAAACAAAAACAAAAAAAGTATGCGGATTTCATAATGTTTTTTTGCGCATTTTCAAAATTTTTCAAAAATAAAAAACTTTTAAACACAAATTTTCAAAATTTTGATCATTCTTAAACCTTCCCTTGGGTCACGTGAGGTCCCACAAAAAATTTGGGCCCGATCGGTTCAGCCGTAAAACAGACAAACAGACACACAAGCCAAATTTATATATAGATTATCATTATTGTTGTTATTATAAGCCTATTGATCTCTGTATTATAAGCCTATTGATTGCATCATTTTTGAGTAAAGCTTATAATAAAACGTTACGTTGCTATTTAAAGCTAAATCTTTCTGTTCTGAGCCAATTCAGGAGGATTGACAATTCAGACCATATGGGGTAATGGGAGATGGTTAAAACAAAGACAGAAAACTTCCTTTTTCAGAACAATGTTTAGATCGAGCCCAGGAAAAGTCTGAGCAAACTAAAAATAACAATCCCTTTTATCTAATGTTAACCTGCAAAAAGATAAAAATCCCTTTAATATTTTATTACCTGTTTATAGTTGATGGATACAGGTATACGCTGTGGAAGAGGAAGTTTGCATTCAACAGCGGAAACCTGGCAACAAAATTGTTAATGACAGGGGTAAATATTTTCTTGAATAATTATTCTTTCTCTCTCTCTTAAAGTCAGGGGAAAGAGCAGAGGGTTAATTCCTTAAATAAATAGCCCTATAAATTTAATAATCCGGGATATATTTCAAGAATATCCCACCCGAACAAAAAAACATTGAATATCAAAAGGCAAGTTTTTTCATCCCTTAAGATAAAATTCATTTACTTCTCCCATTAAAATAATTTTGGGCTCTACGCAAACATAAAAACATATGAGGAGAAAAATATTTCATTGGGGGAGGGGGGATGACAAGGGTGTATACTGTATATTTTTAAGAATTACCAATACCCACCCCCCTGGGGGGGGGAATGATTTTTGGAAATCTCGGGAAAATGAAAAGGAAAATTTTGCTTTCTTTTGTCATACTTTTTAACCAGATTTTCGGCTAAAAATCATTTATTTTCCTAATTCAGGAAATAAAACGCTTATAAAAACCATACCTAACTTCTGGGGGAAAAAATTACTTTCTTAAGAGGTGGGGGATGATTTTTCAGGAAAATATACACCCCTGGTGGATTTTTTGAGCGAACTTTTGGGAAATTGTTCCCTCATTTACTATTTGACCAAGATAACCTGTATTTTAGGCCCGCTCGTGTAGAGAATATAGTCAATGCGTTTCCCTGCAGGTGCCTCCTTCTTTTCCTAAACAAAATTCAAAATAAAACAGTTTTTTTAAATCTAAAAACTTCTTAATTTGGAAAAGATTCTTAAGATGGAATGGTGAAAAAAAAAATAAGTTTGTAATTGCAGACTACAACAAATATAGTGCAAACTACCACACAATCATATAAAATCAAAATAATAACACTCAAATCAAATCAAATCAAATCAAATCATAAGTTGCAGGGATGGCCAACACATCATATAAAAACAAAATTTGTTTTACCTTAGAGGTGGTATATGTGTTGTATGGAGTTCCACAGGTACCTCCACCCTTAAACAAATTAGTAAAATCAACTTGTAAAATTTGAGATCAATTTAATAAGAGTATTTTTGGAGTGATAGGTTTTTTGTAAATTAGTTTTTTTAAGTAAATCTTGCAGAAAATCACCAAGAATGAAGAAAGGAATATGATTTAGACCGGAATCAAATCGACTTGTACAGGGGTATTATTATTATTAAAGAACAATCCGTAGTACAGGCGCCNATTCTAATCAATGATCTTGGTGAAAAATTGATTTATTCTCTGCTGAAAGTCAATTATTTCGCCCGATTCAACAAATAAAATCTCAACACTTAAAATACTTGAAGTCTGGGGGAAAACATATTTTCAAGAGGGGGGGGGGGAATTATTTACAAGAAAATATAAACCCCTGAATTTATATCTAATGGTTACCTCCTTGCTACCATTTACTACAGCCCATGAATCCTCAAGGCCACCAACTTGTCTATCAGAAGAGAAAAAAAAACTTTTAAAAAGAAGAGTTGTAAAAATTTGTACATCTTTTTATTCCAGCGAAGACAGAAGGTACTTAATCAAGTAAATATTAAAAAAAATTTCTATTTGAAGAATTTCTTCGAAAGAATTACTTTAAAAGAATTACTTTGAAAGATTTACTTTGAAAGAATTACTTTGAAAGAATTACTTTGAAAGAATTACTTTGAAAGAATTACTTTGAAAGAATTACTTTGAAAGAATTACTT